GAATTCTTTCCATATTCCTACATTCTCAACTTGGAATCTACCACAATGGAACTTCTGCAAAAGACAGGAGATTCTTTACTAATGCTTGCTGACAAAACCTATGCCTCCTAATTTGTTTGACGTGATCAGAAGTCCCTTATCACCAATACAGAAGACACTCCAGCCAAGGTCTAGATTTTCCTTTAAAACCAGATATTACGCTGGGGACAGATGGCTCAGGAGACAGAACTGATGATAGAGGTTCAAAGCCAGCCAAGGCAGAAAAGTCTGTAAGACTCTTATCTCCAGTTAACTAACAAAAATCTGGAAATAGAACTGTGGCTCAAGTAGTACAATGCCCATCTTTAGATTAAAAGCTAAGGGACAAAGCCTAAGCTCTGAATTCAAATCACACACACACACACACACACACACACACACACACACACACACACACACACACACACACCAGAAAAAAGATTAAACAAATACTTGCCACTGATAGCTCTCAATATTCCTAATTTGTTTCTGTCCTGCTACGTAACTCTGCTAGGCTACCAAAGTGGAGACCTGGAACAGCAGTAGCACTGGTCAAATGTGTCTTTGCAAGTCAAAGGTCAATGGTTACAACTGTTAATAGCTTCATCAATCCCATCTTCTCCTACTCTCATTTACTATTTCTTTCGGAATTCAATTCTCCGAGCTACATTCTGAGCACCAAATTTTTTGACCAATGCATTTCTGGTATCTTCATCATCTTTTTGTAAGTCTAAGTCATCTTGTCGGGACCAAATGGGGTAGCCATCAGCTCTCTGACCAGACTCTAAAAAGGAAGAAGTTGCTTCCAGCTCACCACTATTTTTTAAGAAGGCTTGTGTAACTGTTGACAAATCCAAGTTAAATTTTTCCATTAATTGCCGGATGATTTTAATGGCAGCTCCCACCTCTGCTGTAGAAATCTTATCTTCCTCCTCCTCAGGTTGTGCTTCTGCATTTTCCTCGGGTGTAGGAGGGTCGTCATCACACATTGTTATATGTATTTCAAAATCAGGGGTTTCATCTACCTACAGAGAATGATCAGAAAGAGCAGTTCCTAATGACCTAATTCAGAATGCAATGTATGGTCCCTCCCAACTCCACCCCCTTGCTCTCTGCACACCAATCACACTGAAGTTTCACTAATATGTTACACAAGTTCATTCACACTGGATGCGCATGTACACATGTGTGTATTATCCATGTATGTACCTGGGAAGGTGGTGTGTACATGTATATGTATAGTTATGTTTCAAAGATTAGATCCTTTACTGATTGTAAGAAATACATGTGTCAATATGCACACACAATATATGTATACATGTACATACATATACACAGAGAACAACACACATGTATATACACGTTCATTAGATCTTTGTTAAATATTTGATTTCATTTCCAGACTGTAGTTCCAGAAGAGCCGGAACCTAATATTTGACTCATCACAGACTCGCTTTTCTCTCCAATGCTAAGATGTGCTAAGTTCTCAGCACTGCTGCATGACTCTCTGCCTAGGCACATTATGAATGTGCTACCTAAGAGCCAGGCCTGACAGCTGAAGCAAGATTAAGCCAAACACACAACACACATCACAAAGCAACAATCCCAAACTTCTGCCAGATCCCATGCATTGCTCCACTCATTAGTTCCAGAAACTTTAATTTATCCCTCCTCCTCCTTTTGTAGTAGTGGTACTAGGGTTTGAACTCAGGCAGCCATTCTATCACTTAAACCAAACCTCCAGATGTTATTTTGCATTTTTTAGACTGAATCCTAGCCAGACGTGGTGGTACATTCCTGTAACTCCAGCAATTGGGAGACTGAAGTGGCATACAAGTTCAAAGTCAGCCTGTGCTACATAATGTAGCAAAACCTTATCTCAAAAATAAAATTTTTAATTAAAAAAACTGAAGCCTACTCATTTTTCTTTGTGTTTATAAGAAAATCTAATTCTTTTCTTTAGAGAAGACACATGAATAGTTTAAAAATACATACTTAAAAAAGTATATATACACTTAACATATATATTTATATTTTAAAAATATAAAAATATATTCTTAAAAAGTATTCATCATGGGGCTGGGAAGGTGGCTCAGTGGTAGAGCGCTTGCCTTGCATGCTCAAGGCCCTGGGTTCAATTCCTCAGCACCACATAAGCAAAAAGAAAAAATCCTGAAGTGGCGCTCTGGCTCAAGTGGTAGAGTGCTAGCCTTGAGCTGAAGAGCTGAGGGACAGTGCCAGGCCCAGAGTTCAGGCCCCATGACTGGACCCCCCCCCAAAAAAAAAGTATTCATCATTTGTCACTCCTGATTTTCTCAAAAGCTATTATTCTTCTTCTTGGATTCCAACAAATTATTAGAAGCTAAATCCGATATATAGAAGAGCAAAAGTATTCCCCTAAAACTGTAAGCACACAAAAAGCTACATGTTTGATGGTAAAAATAACTATAGGAGGCTGGGAAGATGGCTCAGTGGTAGAGTGCTTGCCTCGCATGCATGAGGCCCTGGGTTCCATTCCTCAGCACCACATAAGCAGAAAAAACCAGGGTGATGCTATGGCTCAAGTGGTAGAGCACTAGCCTTGAGCTGAAGAGCTGAGGGACAGCGCCCAGGCCCAGAGTCAGGCCCCATTACCAACCAACCAAAAAAAAAAAAAAAACAAGCACTAGGCTCAGAGTTCAAATCCTGGCACCAGGAAATTATAAGTCTCTATTCTACCTGATTTCTCTCTCCCACTCTAGCTGTGCTGCCCCAAACTAAAAGCTTTTCGAAGCCGAAAGCCTAAATCCACCCATTCTCCTTTTTCCTCTTCTGTGTTTAATTTCTCTCTTATATTCCTGGACCTCAGGTGGGTGAAAAAGGTAGATGGGATAGTCAGTTTCAAAGAAGGGAGGCAGGGGGAAAAGAGAGTAAATCTAGTTAATATACCACAACTTCCTCAAACTCCTGGGTGGATTGCGCAAGCATGGTTTTGACTGTTTCTTCATTTTCCTTTATGTCTTCCTTTGCATTCTCTTCTTCAGACAAGTCTGCTGTCCTCTTAGTCTGTGGTTCTACTAAAGAAGAACAGCATAAATTAGCATTTTCCTCCTTCACCTCACACCTGTAACCCTAACTACTCAGGAGACTGAGTAGTTAGGATTACAGTTTGAAGCCCTGGCAGGAGTCTAGTAGAGAGCAAGCATTGAGCAGAAAAGCTCAGAAACAACACACAGCCCTGAGTTTAAGACCCAAGCTCTGAGCCAGATGTTAGTGGCTCACACCTATAATCCTAGCTACTCAGGAGGCTGAGATCTGTGGATCACAGTTCAAAACCAGCCTGTGCAGGAAAGTCTGAGACTTATCTCCAATTAACCACCAGAAAACCCAAGCCCTATTACCCATGCAAAAAAGCAGGCCCTGCGCACACAAAAAAGTAGTATATGCTGTGTAAACTCTATCCAGAAGTAAGCCTCCACTTTTGTAAATTTTTCTTTCAGAAGACATCTATTTTAGTTGTTGTTGTTTTAGTGTTGTTTTTTTGTTTTTGTCAGTCCTGGGGCTTAAACTCAGGACCTGGGCACTTTCTCTGAGCGTTTAAGGCTAGCATTCTACCACTTGAGTCACAGCCCCACTTCCGGCTTTTTCTGTTTATGTGGTACTGAGGAATCAAACCCAGGGCATCATGGATGCTAGGCAAGCAAGCCCTCTATCACTATGCCACTTTCCCAGCTCAAATGGGATATTCTTAAACTCTGACAAACTTTATTACTCTTCAAGCTTCATTCACTTTTTGCTTTGTATTGACAATCGAACGAAAACGCCAGGTGCCGGTGGCTCATGCCTGTAATCCTAGCTACTCGGGAGGCTGAGATCTGAGGATCACCGTTTGAAGCCAGCCCAGAACAGCCAAGGAGCCCCTTATCTCCAATGGATCACCAAAAAGCTGAAAGTGGAGCTGTGGCTCAAATGGGAGCGCACCAACTTGGAGCAACAGCTAAGCCCCTATGTTCAAGTCCCAGTACCGGCACAAAAATGAAACAAACCCCCAAACGGTTCAGTTTTACCCTGATGTCAACAGAGGGGCGGGGCTGAGCGATGCCACCAAGGCCGGGCTGCCGGGCCCCGGGCCCCCGCGCGCGCCCCGCCGCTCTCGGCCGCCTCGGGGTCCGGCTCGGCCTTGCGCTTGAGCCTCGGCGCCGAGGGGCTCCCCGGGGCGCCCCCCAGCTGGTACTGGTGCTCCTGGCCCCGCAGGTGCTTCAGGTAGCGGTCCTTCATGGACTGCCACGAGTGCTGGGTGACCGAGGCCTTCTCCATGGCTTTCCACAGGACGGTGCCCGTCACGGAGCTGGGCGAGCGGGCGTTTTCCTTCACGTAGGTCAAGATGGCCACGTCGTCCGCGTCGGTGAAGGCCATCCGCCCGTTGAGCGGCGGCGGCGGCGGCGGCGGCGGCGGCTCGGAGTCGGCGGCGCGCTCGGCCGGGGCCCCGGCTTTGGTGTCCGAGCCCAGCCGGTAGGCCTCCAGCTCCAGCCTCTCGTTGCGCTCCACGCAGTCCAGGATGAACTGCGTGGAGATGAAGTCGCCCGCCGCCTCGGCCGCCGCCTCCCCGGGCTGGGCCAGCAGCACGGCGCCCGGCTCCTGCACCCGGCACACCGTGCCGCCGCCGTGCAGGATCAGCGTCGACAGCCGGCGCTTGGCCGGGCTGGGCCGCACGTAGAACGACATGGAGCTGCCGTCCTCCCTCAGGAACAGAGTGGAGGAATGGGTGGGCCCGTTGGGGTCTTTGCCCAAATCCATCGCCTCCGCCATGGCCCAGGCCTGTCACCACCACCAGCTCGGACAGAACGCTCGGCAGCCTAGCACTGCGCGTGCGCAGCACCCCAAACGCGCCCGCCCTCCCCTTCCCCGGAAGGGGCGGCGAAATCCCGCCCTGCGCGTGCGCGGCGCAATAGACTCCCCCCCCTTCCTCGGAAGAGGCGGGGTTTTGGAGCTTCACCTGGAAGTACTCGTTACTTTCGGGTCGGTTCCCGGGGGAGATGGCCACGCTGCAGGAGGCAGACGTGAAAGTGGGTGGCGAGCCGAAACTGAGCAAGAAGTAAGTGTCGTCCAGGGCCATGTGAGCCTGTGGGGGAGCGGGGGGGGGTCTCCGTCCAGACTGGGAGGCTGGGCCGGGGGTCCTGCGCGTGTGGCCACGCTCCGGCCCTGTAAGCGACATCTCCCCACCCCGAGGCCCCCACGGCGATCGGCGGGTGCTGATGGGTCCCCCCGCCTTAAGGTTGAAATTGGAGAGAGCAGGGGTCGGTCTGAGAAATGACAGGGAAGAAAAGTGGAACTTGCTTCTTCCCTCCTGCCCCTCCGAGAAAGGCCTCCTGTGCTGACTGCCCCGCTCCCCGGTGCTCACCGAACGCTGTCTGCCACCTTCAGCCTTTCCTTCCCGGGCCTCACCGAGACCGTAGGAAGAGGGGTGTGTCCGTCTGGAAACGGCCGTCACTCTCCATATGGGTGATTCAGAGCCGAGCTGTCAGTGGTCTTGTTCAGCCTGGAGGCTGCCCTAGCCACTGTTGAGTGTATCTTTGTTAGCCTCTCCACCCCCACACCCTAGATCCTAGAAATGTGCAGATGACCACTGATCTAGATTAACCCACCCTTGAAAGGGCATTTTTATTGTCTCTAAATACCACAGTCTTTCAACCACGGTCATGAAACCACGGAACTCACAGACATCAGGGTGAGTTTTGAGTGTGTTACTGCTCTGAAAGTACATAATTAGGACTAGGCTAGGGGTGTAGTATTTGTAGAACACAAGAACTTTAGCTTCTAATGCATTCTGATGGAACTGCTATCGGTTCTTCAGCTAGGTGGTTTTAGAAAAAGTAGTAATACCTAGATTTATGGAGTTCACAATCACTACATTGTCCTTTATGACAATGATCTGATGGATTTTATAAATGTTTGGAACTTAACCTTAGATACCTATATCTTACTTGAGGGAAAGAAAGTTAAGTGGATTTTTTAAAATCTATTAAATCAGTCATTTTTTTTCTTTTTTCTTTTTTTTGGGGGTCGGGTTGTCGGGCCTGAACTCTGGGCCTGGGTGCTGTCCTTCAGCTCAAAGTTAGCACTCTACCACTTGAGCCACAGCACCATTTCCGGCTTTTTTTTTTCTGCTTATGTGGTGCTGAGGAATCGAACCCAGGGCCTCATGCATCCAAGGCAAGCGCTCTACCACTGAACCACCTTCCCAGCCCCAGTCATTTTTTTCTTTGAAGAAATTTTAACCAGATCTATTTTAGCATAACGGAGTTAAAGTAGGGGGGGGGATGGAAAAGAGATAAACATTTCCTACAGTCAGAAAAATTAGTTAAAGACTTAGTCCTTTTTTTTTTTTTTTTTTTGGTCAGTCCTGGGGCTTGAATTCTGGGCCTGGGCGCTGTCCCTCTGCTCTTCAGCTCAAGGCAAGCTTTCTACCGCTTGAGCCACAGTACCACTTCGGTTTTCTGAGTGGTTAATTGGAGGTAAGAGTCTCATGGAGTTTCCTGCCTGGACTGGCTTTGAACCATGATTCTTAGATCTCAATCTCCTGAGTAGCTAGGATTACAGGTGTGAGCCACGGGCAACCGGCTTTTTTTCTTATAATGCCACAATCAAGGCTTGAACTCAGGGACTCAAGTATTTTGCTCAGCTCAGCGTTTTTGCTCACAATGGTTGCTCTACCACTTGAGCCACACCTCCAGGCCAGTAATTGAATTTTTGTATTATTGATCACAGTTGCTTTAAAAGTAAGGTTTCCAGTTGAATTTTTATGTAAATATAAAAAACTAGTCAGTTCTTTTTACTCAGAGAAAGTATAGCTACCATCACCCCCTCTTGTTTTCTTGTCTTTGAGATAGGGTCTGGACAAGTTCCCAAGACAGATTTTGCCTCCACCTCTTGAGTAGCTGAATTATCACTTTTGTGGGTTGGGGTGGGGAGGAGGGGGGCTGTTACTACTGGACCCTGCCCATTAACCAAAAAGCTAAAGCACTCTACCACTTGAGCCACTGTACCACTTCCTGCTTTTTGGAGGTTAATTGAAGAGTCTCACAGACTTTTCTACTCTGGCTGGCTGGCTTCAAAACATGATCCTTAGATCTCAGCCTCCTGAGTAGCTAGGATTCCAGGCAAGAGCCACTCAGGGGTTTTTAAATACCACTTTCATAAGCAGCTTTTGTGTTCCAGGCTTCTATGTAAGCTTTCTGTTTTAATCTCACTTGTCATCTTGCAAAGCTAGCATTAATTTCTATTTTCAGAATGATCAGTGATGTATGGTGAAGTGTTTCCCCAAAGCCTGGGGTATAGTTTAGTGGTAATATGCTTGTCTTACATAGAAGAGATCATAAAGTTGATGCCCAGCACCCCCTTCCCCACCCCCTGCTACACACACACCCCAAAGTGTGTGTTCTTACGTGTGTCCTAGCACTAATCAGAACTGAAGCAGAAATCTAAACCCTGGGTCAAGTCTAACTCCAAAGCCCATGATCTTTTTACTAATTATACTGTACTGTCTCACATAGCTTTATAATAAAAATGTGCTGATATTTTATCTTCCAGTGATTGTGGGCTTGAATAGTTTTTTTGTTGTTGTTTTGTTGGTCGTGGGTCTTGAACTCTGGGCTTGGGCGCTATCGATCAGCTCTTCAGCTCAAGGCGAGCACTCTACCCTTTGAGCTACAATGCCACTTCTGATTTTCTAGTGGTTTATTGGAGATAAGAGTCTCACAGACTTTCCTGCCAGGGCTGGCTTTGAACCACGATCCTCAGATCTCAGCCTCCTGAGTAGCTAGGATTACAGGCATGAGCAACCAGTGCCAAGTATTAAGTAGTTTTTGTAGTTAAAATTCTCTTCCTAATCACTCTGAAACATTCCTGATCTAAAATCTTTAATCATCACAGTATTATGCTTAAGACCAGATGGACTACTTGCCCAAAGGATTCATTCTCAAAATTCTCAAATGAAAGATCCCCGCCCCCCCCCCCAAGTATATTTGAACACGGTAGAATATAGCTCCTGTCATTGTTTCCTTCCAGTGTTGATGTATAAACTAAAAACTATCCTTTCTTTTTTGTTCCAAGAACTCCAAACTATTCTTCTCTTTGACTTAGAAATGTTTTGTGTGGGTTTAGTTTCCTCCTACCCCCACAACTGAGAACAGGTCTCATTATGTTCCCCAGGCTGTCTCGGGCTCCTTAGCTCAAATGATCTTCCTGCCTCAGACTCCTGAGTATCAGAGACTACGGGCATGTACCACTATGCAGCTGTATGGCTTACATTGTCTAAAGTTTGTGTTTGATAGAGATATTTTCCCTGTGTTTCATATGCTTTGCATTACCATCTTGTGTCTAGGCACTTCAACCCTCTCCTCAAAAACACACTTTAGGACTTCAGAAAATTGCCTTCTGACTTGAATTCTAAAATGTGGTCATTTTTCTACCTGTAAGTTATTGGCTGACTTGTACTTGACTTTCTAACCTAGAAACACACCCTTTTCCATAGCCAGGAGTGAGATGATTTTAGTTGCACAACAGTAAGTTCACAGGATTGGCTATTTGTTTAAGAGCCTGAAGTTAAATGGCTCAGCTCCCCCTACGCAAAGTGTGTAGGTTGAGTGCATGTGTACTGTCTGTCCCGTCTGACTCCACATCTCTTGTTTCCTGCTAGGTCCTGGCAGTAATTAATTCCAGGGTATTCTGCCATGTTGATGCAAGCTGCGGTCAGGCTTGTTAGGGGGTCTCTGCGGCAGACCTGGGCAGAGTGGGGTCAGAGGGACCTTCGACTGGGCCAACTTGCTCCTTTTACAACGCTGCACAAGGACAAGCCACTTTCTGATAAAAGAAGGTGGGTGCCCGTCGCCTTCTTTATTGCTCTGGAGCAAAAGTTCTCTCCTCCAGCATATGTTAAGCCCTTAGTTAAATCTTTGGATTTACTACAAAGAAAGCAAAGAACTAACTCTTCTACTAGCAAACCCAATAGTTCTTTCTCACTTTCTCTGAGTTCAAATCCTCTCTTTCTTTTTAGTTTTTTTTTTCTTCCCCCTGATTAGTTGGAGATGAGTCTCTTGAACTTTTCTGCCCCTGCTGGCTTTGAACCCATATTCTCAGATGTCAGCCTCCTGAGTAGCGAGGATTACAGGCGTGAGCCTCCAGCACCCAGCTTGGTTTTAAACTCTTGATTCTCCTACTTGAGTCTCTGAAGTGCTGGATTGTTGGTGTGGGCTTCCTTACAGCCTTAAGATGCCTTGTGGATCTTATTCTAGGACAATGCTGAGAAAAAGAGACTTATTTGTATAAGGAATTTTTGTAATGCCAGTTATTTTGCCTTTTCTGGGTTTTTTTGTGTGTTTGTTTTTTGCTTTATTTTGAGGTTTTGTTTGCCTTTAAATTAATCTGGTTCTAGTTGTTCTAGGTGTTGTCCTAGATCTTTCTGGACTCTTCTTAGAAATGATTTAAGAACAGTGTCTGATTTGAGAGGATAACAGGTTTATCTTAATCCTAGAAAAGAAATCAGGTAGCCTTGGATGCCCACTGACTGAATTCCAGTATTATAGACCGGGAGCACTGTTTGGAAAAGGTTATCTTTACAACTGTTTTCAAGACAGATTGCATCAGAGTTGCCTGCTTTGAAGTCATCAAAACCAGTTTTTCACATAAAAGATGCTCAGCTCAGCTAGATGTGGTAGTGCATGTCTATAATCCCAGCTACTTGGGAGGCAGTGATGTAGCGAATTACTATTTCAGGCCAGCCCTGGGCAAAACACAGAGACTCTATTTTTTGGATGAGATGGAGAGAAATAACTAAATAAAAATGGGCTGAGGTGGTAGAGTATTTGCTGAATTCAAACTCTAATACTGTCTCTCCCCCACCCCACCCCCAAAAAAGATGATCAGTTCAAATCCTTGATACATTTTTTAATAAAGTATTGAAAAATGAAGGCTAGTGATGCTGCTGAGACACACAGCTCCCAGTGAGGCTGAGCCATAGGATTGTAAACTGGAAGCCAGATGAACAACTTACCAAGACCTTGTTTCAGAAGTAAAATGGGGAGAAGTTAAGAAGGTAGCTCCATGTTAGAGCACTTGTCTAGCACATAAAAGACCCTGGGTTTAAGCCCCAGTACTGTAATAAATTAATGACTAACCAGTAAATAAATTTTGGAAGAGGAAGGAAAGAAAGGGAAATCAAGCATGTTCTCTAAAACAAGACAGCATGAAAGCATGATTTGGGGGCTAGGAAGGTGGCTCCGTGGTAGGGTGCTTACCTCTCATGCATGAGACCCTGGGTTTGATTGCTCAGCACCACATAAGCAGAAAAAGTTGGAAGTGGTGCTGTGGCTCAAATGGTAGGGCACTACCTGCTGTAAGCTGAAGAGCTGAAAGATAGCACCAGGCCCAGAGTTCACACAACTGACAAAAGAAGAAGAAGGAAAGCATGACCTAGAATCTTTTCCAATGGTTCACTGTTACAGAGTATTCATCTGAAAGAGTATCTACAAGTTCCCCTTAAGTAACAAATATATCACTATCCAAAATAACTTGTTCTCTTTCTGGATTCATACGGCAAGTTTACTTAATGGATGTTTGGTTTGGTTTTTGAGTCTCAGGTAGCAAGAACCAAGAGTTTGAATAAGGAGGAATTTGCCTATAAATACATAAAAGTTATATGATTTCTATCCTAACTGCAGAGTGTACATGTTTTAAGGTAGTGACCGATACCTAACAGAGTTCTCATCTGGTCATTCGCTCACGACAGTGACAGGGTGGTTTATAAGCATCTGCCTTCATAACCACTGGGAGGTGTCTTGTTTCCCCTTGCTAAATAGGGAGAAGTTGGGTCATTTGCCAAAGGTCACGTCATTGGTAGGTATGTCAGAATTGAGCCATAGGCAGTTGTATTACAGAGATGATATTGTATCCCCACTAGTAAACTTTGTTGTACTTTCTCTGTTGTCAAAGTCGGGTTCCAATGGGCCATGTGAGACCTGTGTGGACAGCTTTTCCCAGAGAGATTGTCCATGGTCTGAAGAGTCCAATTCTGCCACAGCTTAACTCTTTCCTTTGGGAAGGGCATGGGGGGGGAGGGGCATGGCAGACATAGCTGTCCCCTCACGGGTTGATCAGATACTGGAGGAGCTTAGTCTCGTGGAATACCATGTAACTAACTAAGATTTGGTTTGTGGACTCAAGGAGCTTTGTAGCCCTATGAATGCTGAGAAAAGGCCTATGCTCCTGAGTGGTAGGAAAATCCCCTACCTCCACTCTAAATGTAAACTATATGTAGGATTTCTTTTTTTTTTTTTGGGTCCGGTTGTGGGGCCTGAACTCTGGGCCTGGGCGCTGTCCCTCAGCTCTTCAGCTCAAGGCTAGCGCTCTACCACTTGAGTCACAGCGCCACTTCCAGCTTTTTTCTTTTTGCTTATGTGCTGCTGAGGAATCAAACCCAGGGTCTCAGGCATGCAAGGCAAGCGCTCTACCACGGAGCCACCTTCCCAGCCCTATATGTAGGATTTCTTTGTCCTAGTGCATCTTGGTTTTAATTGAGGCTAGGGCCAACTGGAGACTGAACACAAAGACTGAAAATGATCCTCTGCATCTTTGTCCTAAGCTTATTTTTTCCCTTGTCTCTTTCACGTAGAGTTCAGTGAAAGAGGTTGGGGTTGGCGAGTGGGGGGGGCGGTGGTGGCGTGGCACTGAGCAAGCGCAGTTCCCCCAGCTTATTCATAGTTCTGGAAAGTAGCTATGGGGCAGAAGGCACCGGGCTCTTCGGGCACTGTTCACACTGATTGCTTTCATTTCCCAACAGTGAGCTAAAGAGACGCCTGAAAGCTGAGAAAAAAGTGGCAGAGAAAGAAGCCAAGCAGAAGGAGCTCAGTGAGAAACAGCTAAGCCAGGCCCCTGCGGCGGCCACCAACCACACCACAGACAATGGCGTGGGTGCCGAGGAGGAGAGCCTGGACCCAAACGTGAGTCCCCTGGGCCACTGGCACGGCTGGGCACGGGAAGGCTTGTGATGAGGCTTCTGGCAGATTTCCTTGGGCCCAGGCAGTAAGAGGGACCAATGACTAAGGAGATACATAGGCACCAGATCAGGCATTAGGTCTGGGTCACTTCCTCTAAATAAGGGAAGAAGGCGAAGTCACAGAGCATGCCATGCCTTCTGGCTAAATGCACAGGCCCTGGATTTTTTTTTTTTTTATATCAACTCCCAATAGGCAGCTGAAAGTCCAGAACTCCTAAGTGACTTTAGTTGAAAAACCACGTTTTTACAGACCAGATTCACCTGTCCTCTGTCCCCCAACCTCATCCTTCCCTCTGGTTTTATACAAAACTGTTGAGTGGAACACAGCCTGCCTGTTTGTTTACATCTCTCCAAGGCTGCTTGCCCTCCTCCCCTCCCCACAACGCCAAAGTTGAGCAGTTGCATCAGGAAGAGTGTGCTGGCTCCCGCTGTAGATTGTCCCTGTTTGCATTCTACAGGTCCCGTGGGCCTGCCTTGGGTAAAGTCTAATGCGTGGTCAGGGGTAGGAGCGTAGTTGAAGAGAAATGACTCCATCATATAGAATCAGTCACCTAAACCAATAAAACGTTTTCTTCTTTTTGTTGAATCTTGCATTTTAGAATTCTAGCCTTCATTTCTAGCTGTGGATCAGACCACCATGCAAGAGAGAGAGAAAGAGAGAGAGTGCGTGAGTGTGTGTGTGTGTGTGTGCGTGCGTGCGTGTGCTGGTCCTGAGGCTTGAACTCAGGGCCTGAGCACTGTCCCTAAACATCTTTTGTTCAAGGTTAGCACTCTTACCATTTGAGCCACAGTGCCACTTTCAGCTTTTTCTGACTAGTTTATTGGAGATAAGAGTCACAGACTTTCCATCCCAGGCTGACTTGGAACTGTGATCCTCAGATCCTGAGTAGCTATGATCACAGTCTTGAGCCACCAGTGCCCACCAACCATGCATTTTTTTTAATTTTAATTTTATTGTTATAAAGGTTACAGAGGGGTTACATTTACATACATCGGGTAATGAGTACATTTCTTTTCATACAGTGTCACCTGTTCCCTCATTCTCTCTAATTCCCTTCCTCCCACCTCTACCCATGAGTTTTGTGTGGTTCACTTTCATCAATGTCCAGTGTACTTCACTGCAGCACTTTTTCTGTTTTTCCTCTGATTCTGTGCCCTCTTCTCACCCCCTCACAAATATTCACATAAATACACTGTTTATAAGGTAAAGTATACAGAATCATCATAAAAAGATTTTAAGTCCTTTGTTCCCATATCTTTGGAGTTCATTTCAGTATATATGTATTGTTTTATATGCATGTGAACAGGCTGTTGGGCATTGTACACTTGTGATTCTCTCCTAAGACTATCCTCTTCTGGTCTCACTGCATGTGAGTATCTAGAATCCTGTGTCATTTGTCATATCCCAGTAACCATGCATTTTTTTGTATTTTTTGTTTTGTTTTGTATTTTTGCCAGTCCTTGAGCTTGATCTCAGGACCTGGGCACTGTCCCTGAGCTTCTTTTGCTCAAGGCTAGCACTCTACTACTTGAACCATAGCACCACTAACAGCCTTTTCTGTTTATGTGGTTTTGCCTTTTTTTTTTTTTTGGTTGGTTGTGGGTCTTGAACACTGGGCCTGGGCACTCAAGGCTAGTGCTCTACCACTTGAGCCACAACACCATTTCTGGTTTTCTGGTGGTTAAGTGGGCTGGCTTTGAACCACGATTCTCAGATCTCAGCTTCCTGAGTACCTAGGATTACAGGCATGAGCCATCAGTGCCCAGCTGTTTATGTGGTACTAAATAATTGAACCCAGGACTTCATATAGGCAAGCACTCTACCACTAAGCCACATTCCCAGCCCTAACCATGCATGTTTTTTGTTTTTTTTTTTTTTTAAATTGGTTGTGGGGCTTGAACTCTGGGCCTGGGCACTGCCCCTGAACTCTCCAGCTCACTACCAGTTGAGCACGCTACCACTTGAGCCACAGCACCACTTCTGGTTTTCTGGCAGTTAATGGGGGATAAGAGTCTCACAGACTTTCCTTGCCTGTGCTGGCTTTGAACCGTGATCCTCAGATCTCGGCCTCCTGAGTAGTTTAGGATTACAGGCATGAACCACTGGCACATGGTTTTAAATGTGAATCTCATTTCATTCAGTCCTTTGCTTTCAAGAGTATGGAGGACATGTATATTGAAAGTCTCAACTGGGGGCACTCTGAGAATCCAGTACTCTGCCAGATGGGCCCTGATCTGACCAGGTTCAACTTTGTAATGACTCTTTGTTGTTTAACAGCAATACTACAAGATCCGCAGTCAAGCAGTCCACCAGCTGAAGGTCAGTGGGGAGGACCCGTACCCACACAAGTTCCATGTAGACATCTCTCTTACCCACTTCATCCAGGAATACAGTCACCTGCAGCCCGGGGACCACCTGACTGACATTACCTTAAAGGTGGCAGGTAGGAAAACTCCCCGTTGGTTCACCGAGATCCCCAAAGCAGGCAGGCCTCTTTGGTAACATAACAGAGCATATATGTTGCTCTTCAGCTATTGTCTCTTTGTTGTTTGATGATGCTATGTATGTTATTAGCATATATTATTACAAAGGATTTCCATGCATGCATTTGATCATAATGATACCCTCTCTTGATCGTGTGTGTGTGTGCGTGTGTGTGTGTGCGTGTGTGTGTGTGTGTGTGTGTGTGTGTGTGTGTGTGTGTGTGTGTGTGTGTTGATACTGGGAATTGACCTTGGCTTCAAACTCTCACTTGGGTTTTTTCCCTCAAGCCTGGTACTTTACCACTTGAGCCATACCTCCACTTACTAGAGAGGGTATTACTACGATCAAATACATTTTATACACACACACATGCGCGCGGAAATCTTTTTTTTTTTTTTTTTGGTCGGTCATGGGGCTTGAACTCTGGGCCTGGGCGCTGTCCCTCAGCCTTTCAGCTCAAGGCTAGCGCTCTACCACTTGAGCCACAGCGCCACTTCAGGATTTTTCTGCTTATGTGGTACTGAGAAATTGAACCTAGGGCCTCAAGCATGCAAGGCAAGTGCTCTACCACTGAGCCACCTTCCCAGCCTCTCCAGAGAATATCTTAGCTCCAGATATTCATGCCCATCTTTGCCTTTTTTTGTTTTGTTCTGCTTTCTTGTTTTCTCTTCTTTTGTTTTCACGCCAGTGTCAGGGCTTGAACTCAGGACTTTGAGCTCCTGCTTGTTTTGCCGCTGGTACTCTACCTCTGCCATTGGAGCCATACCTCTAGTCCCATTGATTGGTTTTAATAAGAACAATGGGTGTGGGGACCAAAGCAGGACTCAAAGCTCAAGTCATATCAGATTGTGTATACTGCTGAGGGAGCTCTCTTGGCACTGAGAGCATGAAAGGTCTGGTTCTGTCTGTCGATATTTTTGCTATTCTTTTTTTCTAGGTAGAATCCATGCCAAAAGAGCTTCTGGGGGAAAACTCATCTTCTATGACCTTCGAGGAGAGGGAGTCAAGTTACAAGTCATGGCCAATTCCAGGTATATAGAATTAGCTACCTGGTTAGAGAACTTTTCAGGCTGAGCTAGAGCAACAAAGACATTTTGGACAGAGGATGATAATGGTCTTATTTTGCCTGGCACGGTGGTTCATTCCTATAATCCTAGCTACTCGGGAGGCTGAGATCTGAGGATCGCAGTTAAAAGCCAGCCCAGGCAGAAAAGTCCCCATGAGACTCTTCTCTCTAATAAACTACTCAAAAAAGCTAGTAGTGGTGCTGTGGCTGAAGTAGTAGAGTGCTAGCTTTGAGTACAAAGAAGCTTAGGGACAGCGCCCAAGTTGAGTTCAAGCCCCAAGACCATGAAAAAAAAAGGGGGGGGAGAAGGATGAAGGAAGTTATACAGGCTAGACTATCTGCCTGTCTGGAAAATGATGGCTGCTCTTGAATTGTATTATTAAACATAAATAACACAAGATATAAAACAGATCTGAAACAATCCTTTGTAGTCTTATTTGCTTAGCTTTTGAGACTTCCATTAATTGGTTGAGGGTTCCAGTGTAAACTAGTAGTGGGTGCTGATTTTAACTACTATATAGTGAATTACTTTTCCTTCCACTCAGGAACTATAAATCAGAGGAAGAATTTATTCACATCAATAATAAACTGCGTCGAGGAGACATAATCGGAGTTCAGGGGAATCCTGGGAAAACCAAGAAGGGTGAACTGAGCATCATTCCCTATGAAATCACGCTCTTGTCTCCCTGTCTGCATATGTTACCTCATCTACACTTTGGTCTCAAAGACAAGGTAAACGCTCAGCCTGCTAGCTGCGACACAAAGATGCAGTCCACTTGTTTTATTCTGCCATTAAGTGAAGCCAGTGATGTCTAACTGCTGCTTTTTGTTTAGGAAACAAGATATCGTCAGAGATACTTGGACTTGATCCTGAATGACTTTGTGAGGCAGAAATTTATCATCCGCTCCAAGATCATCACGTATATCAGAAGTTTCTTGGATGAGCTGGGATTCCTAGAGGTGAGAGGAGGGAGGGGTTCCTATCTGCCTTGCTCTGCTTGCCCCGTGCATCCCTGCCCTCCTCTCCCAAGGCATGCCTCCTGACAGCATCTTCTTTCCTTCTTCCATCTTGCTTGGTGTCCTTGTTAGGAAAGCAAGAACTGACTTCCACAATAATGAGCAAGGTGTCGTATCATTTGCGTGGTATTAGTGCCATGTTTGATATGTTAATAAGTAATTTAGTGACAAATTTTTGTGGGTTTTGTTTTTGTTTTTGCCAGTCATGGTGCCTGAACTCTGGGCCTGGGCACTGTCCCTCAGCTCTTCAGCTCAAGGCTAGCGCTCTACCACTTGAGCCACAGCACCACTTACAGCTTTTTCTGCTTATGTGGTACTGAGGAATCGAACCCAGGGCCTCAGGCATGCAAGGCAAGCACTCTACCACTGAGCCACCTTCCCAGCCCTGTTTAGTGACAAATTTTTGTAGCTTTAAAAAAAGTGTTTACATGTGTGAGAAAGGCAAATACATGTATTGTAAATGAAATCCAATAAAGAAAAGCCAGACTATACTCTTCTGCCTCTTTCAACTAACTTACTTCTTACTTTTCTCCCTAAACTTGACTTTATTGTGTCTCCTTCCTCACTATTTCCTGTGACTGCATGGACAAACTTACACCTGCAGCAAGTGGGGTATGAGTGAATATTTTGGAGCAGTTGTTGTTTTATTTTTTATTTTTTTATTTTTTTGGGGTCCGGTCGTGGGCCTGGGCGCTGTCCCTCAGCAATTCAGCTCAAGGCTAACGCTCTACCACTTGAGCCACAGCGCCACTTCTGGCTTTTTTTTTTTTTCTTTTTGCTTATGTGGTGCTGGGGAATTGAACCCAGGGCCTCATGCATGCAAGGCAAGCGCTCTACCACTGAGCCACCTTCCCAGCCCCATGGAGCAGTTGTTTTATATCTTGCGTTATTTATGTTTAATAAATGAAGTCACACTTTCCATGGACCTACCTTTTTTTTTTTCTATTTCATATATTCTGTTCTAGAAAAATCAAGCAGTCTGTTCTTTTTCAGGGACTGCATTACTTTTGAACTGAGTGTTATGTGGGGACAAAGCATGAGCTGTCTCCAAGGTCGGGTTGTCTGGGGACAAACTTTCTCCCTGTCTGTTTTAGATCGAGACTCCTATGATGAACATCATCCCAGGGGGGGCTGTGGCCAAGCCTTTCATCACTTACCACAACGAGCTGGACATGAACTTGTACATGAGAATTGCTCCAGAACTCTACCATAAGGTAGTTGATCATAATACACCCCATTCCCTTAAAGCACAGAAGGCTGGAAATCATTGGCTAGAAGTGTTGGTTAGAAATAAGAGAGCCACTAAGGATAAAATAGCCAGGAAGTGTTCTGGATTTGTCAGGTTTTGTAACACTTCCAGAATTTCTCTAAGATTAAGAGCATTACAAGGTAGACAGCAAAGGGATAATATACACACCCCTGACCTACTCTGGTTACCCTAACATTTTTCAATTTACAGTTTTCTTGGATTTTAGTCTTTTATGGAAGAGCATAGTGTCCTTCCCCTCCCCCCCTTCTCTTTCTCTGTCTGGAAGTTTTATATATATATTTTTTGAAGATGTATCTTTATATATATATATGTGAATATATTTTTATCTTCGCATATATATCTTCAAATAACAAGCCATATCATTCAGGATTCTTAGTTGTAGACAACAGAACCTATTGTAACTAAAGCCACTGACACATCTGTTTAGCTATATAAGGACGCTCACATGAAGGATCAGAGAGCTTGGAGCCTGCATAACTAGGAATGATGTGAATCTCATTCCTGAGCTGATGTCCTAGAGAACGCCGTCTTTACAGCTTGGCTGGGTCACTGTCAGAAGTCTAGAGAACGCCATCTTTACAGCTTGGCTGGGTCACTGTCAGAAGTCGCATCCCTGCCGCAGCTCCACAGCTAGAGGTCTCTGGTGCCTTCCACCTGAATGACCTCTGCATAATATTTCTTACTGGTATATCTGAGGCTGAGTCACAAGAGGCTTCTCTGGTAGGCTAAGACCAAGATAGAGGACACCCATGCCACAGGAAGAGTTTAACAACTGTCCGCTACAAGGGTCTAAATGGAGCAAAGTACTAGGAACTTGGAGTAGAAAGTACAGCTAAGCTATGAACAGCAGTTGGAAGAAGAAACTTCCCAGAGCTGTGAAGACAGAGTTACCTGCTTGACCAAGGCCATGTGTTGCTAGATGTTGGTGGTTGGTGGCATTGACCGGGTTTATGAAATTGGACGTCAGTTCCGGAACGAAGGCATTGATTTGACTCACAATCCTGAGTTCACCACCTGCGAGTTTTACATGGCGTATGCAGATTATCACGATCTGATGGAAATCACTGAGAAGATGATTTCAGGTGAGCCTTACTTTTTTCACCTCTCAGCAGGCTTGTAGGGGCTGGTGAGCTACTTACAGAAGATTATTTCCTGAGCTTTGTCCTTAGGAAATGGCTCATTTCTCTCCTAGGAATGGTTAAAAACATTACTGGCAGTTACAAGGTTTCCTACCATCCTGATGGCCCAGAGGGCCAAGCCTTCGAGATTGACTTCACCCCACCCTTCCGGAGAATCAGCATGGTGGAAGAGCTTGAGAAAGCCCTTGGGATGAAGCTGCCTGAGACCAGCCTGTTTGAAACTGAAGGTAAAGGTTCAGCTCTGGATTTGTGCGTGTGCGTGTGTGCGTGTGCGTGTGTGTGTGTGTGTGTGTGCGCGTGTGCGTGCGTGCCTGGGTGTGGGATGGGGTGGTGTATGTGTGGGCATGTGTGCGTGCATGTGCGTACATTTTTTTTTCAGTACTGAACTTTGAAGTGAAGACCTCACAGTAGCCAGTCAGTTGAACCATGCCACCAGCTTTTCTGTGTTTTTATGCCATTCCTGGGGCTTAAAACTCAGGGCCTGGGCACTGTCTCCGAGCTTTTTTGCTCAAGACTAGCACTCAGCCACTTGAATCACAGCTCCACTTCTGGCTTTTTGGTAGTTAATTGGAGATAAGAGTCTCACAGACTTTCCTGCCCAGACTGGCTTTGAACTGGAATCCTCACATCTCAGCTTCTGAGTAGATAGGATTACAGGCATTAGCTACCAACCAAGGCTTTGGATATTTTTGAGACAGGATTCAGGATTTCACATTTTTGTCCGGGGTATCCTAGACTGCACTCCTACTTGTGCTTCCCTGTGTCCCTGAGCATGCCAAATGTGTGTCCCTGCCCCCAGCCATTATTGAGATGGAGTCTCCTGACCTCAGGAGGTCTGTCTCCCAGGTAGCTAGGCTTATATGCTTAACCCCACGCCCGCTCTGTTTTGTTTTTGAGCTAAGGTCTCACTGGGTAGCCCAACTGGTCTCAAACTTAGAGTCCTCCCAAGTGCTAAGATGATAGGCATGCACCACTACACCCAGCTTTATATGTGTTTTTATTGGGCTCTTTGATGTTTCCTGGTCTAATTTGAACATTTGTATCACAGAAACTCGCAGAATGCTTGATGATATCTGTGTGGCCAAAGCTGTTGAATGCCCTCCACCTCGGACAACTGCTAGACTCCTCGACAAGGTGAGAGGTCACCACATCATATGCATTCTCAGCTGCCTCAGTAGGCCCCTGTACTCAGACATGAGTCCCACTCGTTTTCCTTAGCTTCATAGGAAAACTACTAGGGAGGAAGGAGAGAGTTAATCTTGAACTATGTATTACCTCCGTTAATCCTTTCCATTCTTTGAAAAGCTATAGGATAAAGCCATCTAGAAGGAATTGAGACCTTCCTCTGGGACTGTGAAAATATTAAAAATTAATATCTAGGGCTGGGAAGGTGGCTCAGTGGTAGAGCACTTGCCTTGCATGCATGCATGAGGCCCTGGGTTTGATTCCTCAGCACCATATGAGCAAAAAGAAAAAAGCCGGAAGTGGCGCTGTGGCTCAAGAGGTAGAGCACTAGCCTTGAGCTGAAGAGCTGAGGGACAGCGCCCAGGCCCAGAGTTCAGGCCCTACGACCGGACCCAAAAAAATAATAATAATAAAATAAAATTAAATTAATATCTATTTCACCTTTGTCTTTCCATTAAGCTTGTTGGGGAGTTTCTGGAAGTAACATGCATCAATCCTACATTCATCTGTGATCACCCGCAGATCATGAGCCCTTTGGCTAAATGGTAAGATAAGTGTAGTATTTTGGCTGCCTGCTGCTACATAGCAACCCCACAGCTTACAAATCCGAACCACCAATTTATTTTCAAGATACACTATCTTTCTGTTCCATGGAATATTGGCTGAGATAACAGAAATTACTCTTTTTCCCCAAGTTTTAGGAAGGATTTATTTTTATTTAGTATTAAAGTAAGGAGAAATAGAAAAGCTTTCCCACTCTCCACCCAGGAAATGAGAGTTAAAGATTCTTCATGGCTTTTTTCCCACTGGGAATTCTGCCAGGGCACGTTGGTTCCCCTCTACATGGCCTCTCCATATGCTGTCTTTGTGGCATCATAGCTTTTAGCATGGCTGATGGGTTCCCAAAGAAGAACAAGCAAACATGCAAACAAGCGTTCATTCTTCTGCGGATACCCTATTGGCCAAACCAAGTCATGGCTAGCCCAGAGTCCATTCAGGAGAAATGTATGCAGAAGGTCAGACATTCTGGTGTGGGTTAGGGTAACAGTCTACCACAGGGCTCGTTAGGAAGATACTCAAATCCTCCAGGTCTCTCATACTCTCACTGTAATACCAGATGATTTGGTGCTAAGAATACATGCAGTTAGGTTGCCGTTAGCTCTACTTTTTTGAGTCTACAGTCATTCAGGGATTCTTGTACCAGGAGCTGTAAATTCATCCTTGTTGTCCTGGTTCCCAGGCACCGCTCCAAAGAGGGTCTGACTGAGCGCTTTGAGCTGTTTGTCATGAAGAAGGAAGTGTGCAATGCCTACACGGAGCTGAACGATCCCATGCGGCAGCGGCAGCTGTTTGAAGAACAGGCTAAGGTGAGGAAAGAGCGAATGTGTCCTCATCAGCAGATACCAGTACAGGCTCGGGGGCACTCATGGTTTTGCTGGAGGAAGTCACATTTCCAAAGGAAGATTTTGGTTTTGGCTGCGTGAGACCTAAGAGGAACATAAGGTTGTCTGTACACAAGGAGCACAGTGTGTGTCTTAAAAACAGGGAAACATGACCTTTCTGAGATTGCACTTTTCTCAGATTTCTTGGGGATGCAGCAGATCAAGGTATGAAGCAGGCAGGGCCCTGCAGGCTGTCTGTATTCATGTCACCGATGGGTGGTTTTAGGAACCAGGAGAAAGACTATGCAATCACCATACCGTCTATGAAAACTTGGTTTTCCTGCCACCCCAGAAGCCCCAGCAGCGGAGGTAGTGTATTTCAGAGGAATTTGTGTGCATTCTCATGTAGGTTTCATCAGTCCTGATCTGTGCGTCTGTGAGGGAAGTAGCCCCCGTCCCAGAATTACTGGGAAATGAATTCCCACCACCTGAATGAAAACATTCTACTGCCTTAGACACTGAGCTGTCTTGACAAAGTGTTACCTCTTGCTTCTCTTTATTCTAGGCGAAAGCCGCTGGTGACGATGAAGCCATGTTCATAGATGAGAACTTCTGTACTGCCCTGGAGTATGGGCTGCCCCCAACTGCTGGCTGGGGCATGGGCATCGACCGTCTCACCATGTTCCTCACAGACTCCAATAACATCAAGGTACACAGCGGTTCTCCATAGTGCACACTTCCCCAAAGCCCCAGGGTTGGAGGCAGAGCCAGGTGGGCCCCAAGGGTAAACAAGGAGCACTGGGCAGGCAAAGAGGTCCACACCATGCCCCAATTGGAGACTTAGATTAACTGACCTTGTGGGATATTAGTTCTTTCTACTGAGACAGGAGGAATACCAATGTTTGCATTTCATGCATTTCTAGGGACAGGCTGCCTGCTGCCTGAGCTTGGTTTTTTGGGTTTAGGTAGTACTGGGGATTGAACTCAGGGGCCCATGCTTCCCAAATTGGCTTGTTTAAATCAGCTGATCAATGTGGAAACTGTCCCTGTCCTATTTTTGTAAAGCAAGAAATCAATTCTGTGTGTGCACATGTGCATGTGCATGCACTCCCCAGCCTTGGAGCTTGAACTCAAAGCCTGGGTGCTTTCTCTATGTTTTTGAGCTTGAGGCTAGTGCTCTGCCACTGAGCCATAGCTCACTTGCAACTTTTTGGTGGTTAATTGGGGATAAGAGTCTCACAGACTTTCCTGCCCAAGCTGGCTTTGAACCACTATCCTCACTCAGATCTCAGCCTTCTGAGTAGCCAGAATTGTAGGTATAGCTCACCCCAGTGCCCTATTAAAATAAATTTTAATAGAACCTGTGTTTATTCACTGTCTTGACATGATGTCCTAGACAATGAGGTACACAAAACAGCATACAGATCTCTGGACTTGGTTAGTAGCAATAATAGGCAAAGGAAATACATAGATCACTCTTCAAAAAAATATGTTCAAGTGCCTTTATAGCATCAAAACACATTTATGATCTTTTGTAGGAAGTACTTCTGTTTCCTGCCATGAAACCCGAAGACAAGAAGGAGACTGTAGCAGCCAGTGATACACTGGAAAGCTCAACAGTTGGCACTTCTGTCTAGAAAAGAATGACAAGTCTTATAACTCAGGCAATTTTGCGTATCTACAAAAGATAAAATCTGTGAGGGAATTCTTGTATGTCACCATCCATCCAACCACAATTGTGTTTCAGCCACCAAAAGAGAGAAAAGGAATTACAAATTTCTTTTTATTCCTTGTTAACAAATAAACTACCTTATCTCTTTACCTTGGGTATGTCAGTTTTTTTTTCCCCAGACTGCTAGCTTAATGAATGCTTAGGGTTCTACCATGTTATGATAGTTTGTGTTAATGTGGTAGGGAATGGACCTTGTTTTTTTTTTTTTTTAATTGGTATTTCGTATCACTGGGATTGAACCAAGACATCACACATTAGACAGTTGCTAAGTGTCCTAAAATTGTTTATTTCTCCTCTGTGCCATGCATTGTTCTGAGAATTAGGGACACAGTAGAGAACAAAAATTATCACTGTTTGTCATATGACAAAGAATTTGTCATTTGCACCCCAGCAAAGCCTTTGTAGGAGTCCCAATTTGGGAATAACCAGTCTACTTTTATTTTTTTCAGTCATTGGGCCTGAACTCTGGGCATGGGCACTGTCCCTCAGCTCCTCAGCTCAAGGCTAATGTTCTACCACTTGAGCCATGGTGCCATTTCCAGCTTTTTCTGCTCATGTGGTGCTGGAGAATCAAACCCAGGGCCTCATGCATGCAAGGCAAGCACTCTACCATTGAGCCACCTTCCCAGCCCTAGCCAGTCTACTTTTGCAGAGTAAGTTACTACTATTATTGGCAAAATGATCCGGTCATGCAGAGATTAACTAACTGCGAACCACTTGAGAGGCTATGTAGCCTCCTCATCCCTGCTTTTAAAGCAGGTTGTCTTTGAGAAGGAGAATGTAGAGACTGTCTTCTTTCTATGGGAGAAAACAAGGTCAAGATCAGACAAGGGACGGGACTTGAAGCCACACTGCCTATGCAGACCACTGGAAAAAGCTACACAGAGGAAGTTATGAGGGCTGCTAAGATGTATTTAGTAGAAGGCTGGAAGCAAAAGCTAGCCGTCTCATCTTAGAGGAGGCTAGGGATAAAGGAGCAACGCAACACTGGACAACTTGCATGTGGATCTGCAGGTAGGAAAATTGACAAAGCTAGGAGTGGACGGGTCATAAAGGACTTGTAAACTCATCAAACCGTTGATGGTACCAGATTTACTGATTTCTGTACTAGAGTGATCAGAACAAGACATGGTCCTTAGCTTCTAGTCATATAGTGGAAAAGAGATTTAATAAATCATCTCTAGCCAAGCACTGGTGGTGGCTCATGCTTGTAATCCTAGCTACTCAAGAGGCTGAGATCTAAGGATCATGGTTCAAAGCCAGCCCAGGCAGGAAAATCCCTGAGATTCTTATCTCCAATTAACCACCAGAACACTGGAAGTGGTGCTGTGGCTCAAGTAATAAAGAGTGCTGGCAAAAGCGGGGAGGGGAAACTTTCCATAGTATGGAAACAAATGCAAGGGTGGGTTGGAAGGAGCTTGGAGGACAGTGGCACTAGATATAGTACAAAAGTCCAAAGAACTAGATCCAGCTGGAAGAAGAGGCTGGGCATAACAGAGTTATGAGCCTTACTGTGAATTTTATGTTAGAAGCAGGGTATGGTAATTCATGCCTGTAAACAGTCAAAGGAATACAAGTCTGAGGCAAACTCAGCAAGACCTTGTCTTGAAATACAAGCCTGGGAATCATGAACAAAGTGTTATGAATTCTTGCCTAGCAACTGCAAGGAACAGTATGCCAAATATATATGTTGCAGGTATAGCTCAAGTGGTAGAGCACGTGCATACTATAGGCCCTATACCCAGTATGGAGTGGAAATAGGGAGCCAGGACACCATGAATGTAATTAAATGGGAATGTCCTCACTTTCCTGGTTTGAAAAGATCAGTGTAGTTGCTCTGTGGGAAATGAATTGACATTAAATGACAGTTCAGAAATCAGTGTAGCAGTCACCGACTTCAAGATAGTGACTTGAAAGATGGGCAGGTTCAAGGAATAGGATTAATGGCTAAGAGGTGAATTCTGTTTGTGTTAGGGAAAAGGAAGGAAAACCATGACAGAGGTGACACTTTTGGTTTATGCAAACTAATTCCTGAGGGGAAAAATGAAGCATGATTCCCCACATCAGAAAGAAGGGAATGACAGTTGCACTTTGAAAATGGAGATGGGCTGGGAAGGTGGCTCAGTGGTAGCGCGCTTCCCTTGCATGCATGAGGCCCTGGGTTTGATTCCTCAGCACCACATAAGCAGGGAAAAAAAAAAAGCCAGAAGTGGTGCTATGGCTCAAGTGGTAGGTAGCATGCTAGCCTTGAGCTGAAGAGCTGAGGGACAGCGCCCAGGCCCAGAGTTCAGGCCCCACGACCGTACCCCCCAAAAAAAGAAAGAAAAAAAAGAAAATGGAGACGAATGAAGAAAGCATTTTTGGTCTGGAAGAGCTTTGGCCCTTTTCTTTTGAACTAGAGGCAAGTTGAAATTCTGCCTCCTTTTAGTAACTCAATGAGGTTTACCGTGGCTGCTAAGAGTTCGTGAGCCATCCAGGCTTCTCAACCTGTTGGACAGCGTTGAGACAAAACTCTAGATTGGCATTCCAAGATATGTTATTTTCCTATTTGCAACTGAATTGTCTGGCAGGGTGTTTGCCTACCCCCCCCCGCCCCCAGCCCCCCATCTCACCCCCAGCCCCCAACCCTACCCCCCCTTCCCCCTCCCCCCCCCTGCCCTAAAGGACTACCGACCTGGGTACCTCGGCCTTGGGCCCTTCCCTCGGAGAACTACAAAGACCAGCGTGCTCTGCGCACTTCCGGGGTGGAATCTGCGAAGCATTGTCGTTTGTGGCGTCACGTCCGCCGCGCGTCAGCCTTCACCTGTCTGAGGGCGCGCGTCCGGCCGACGGAGTGTATGGGCACGGAGTTGGGGCGTCGGGGCTCGAGGTGTGCGGTTGAGGGGCTCCGTGGGCCCCGGGTTGGGGTGGGCGGGCTCTCGGCTTCCTTTCTCCTGGTTTTGCTTGGGGAGAGCTGGGGGCCTGGAACCTTGCGGCCCGGGCTGCACGCGGGGAAGGGCGGGCTCCCGCTCCCGCTCCCGCTCCCGGAGGCCGACTTGTCCGCGGGAAGCGCCCGCCCCGGGCGCCGAGATGACTGCTGGGCCGAGCTGTTCGGCAGGATCCAGGCCTGGTTACCCTCGCGTCCGAGCGCTGCGTGCCCCAGAGCCAGCCACCTGCCGGCTGCCGGGTCGGCGCCCCGCGCCGGGCCGTTGGCGGTGTGCACCTCTGCCCTGTGCCGTGCAGGCCGGCGGCAGAGGACCCGCCTTCACCCGCTGCTGGGTGTGGTGCCCTCCTGGAAATGACGCCCGAGCCCCTTCCCAACCGGGGACCCGGCTCTCCCCTGTGTTTCTTTGCTCCTAGAGACAGAAAAGTTCTGCTGGTTCTCTGACTTGAAAGGCACAGTTTCTATCATTCGTGGCCAGTTCTTCGTCGTCAGTCACTACGGTCCGATTCATCCATGACCTTTCTTCTACTTCAGTAACGGTCCTGAACTTTGCAAGAGTCTCACTGTAGACATCTTGCAGAAGCATTTCATGTAAGCCTGTTTGTTTTTGTTTTATAACTGCTTAGCTGTGTATACCTATTACATGATCCCATCTTCTAAGAAGCTTTTCATACAGAGTCTGAATAAGGTCAGGACATACTCTGTAGAGCAAGAGGGAGAGAGCAGATTATCCAGGACAATCAAGTGGTTTTTGGTGTTTGGTTTTTTTTTTTGTAATATGAATCCCCATTTAACATATTAATTGCTCAGGATCTTGACAATTGCTTTCAGAGATATTGTTTATAAGATAAAGTGAGGGCTGGGACAGTGACTCAGTGATAGAGTGCTTGCCTTGCATGCATGATACCCTAGGTTCTATTCCTCACATCACATAAGCAGAAAATGCTGGAAATGGCTCAAGTAGTAGAGCACTAACCTTGAGCTGAAGAGCTAAGGGACAGTGCCCAGGCTCAGTTCAGGCCAAATTTAAGGAAAGTAAAAAATAGAGAGGTTAGGTAATCTACCTAATATCACACAGTTAATTTGTGGCATGGTCAGATTTAGGAGCTAGAAAAGGCAACTTCATGCCCATGTCCTTAGGCAGAAGTCTTATAAAAACTTAACTGGTGAGAGACCAGTTAATTTCTGCCTTTCCTTCCTTCTGCTGTAGAGGAAAGAAAAGAATACTATTTCTGAAGAGAATGGAAAGGAACATCTTGCCAGAAAGATCGGCCTTGTGAGGATCTGCACAAAGCAAGCTGAGGTCTGCAAACTGAAGCAGGATACTTGAGTAGTAAATTCAGAAGCATTAAAAATGCGCAGATGTCTAAGGAAACATTTTAAAGCTTGAAAAAATAAGGTGTCTCCTGGATTAGTAGGACTTGGGGCTCCTTTAACCTTTCACTAAAGATGAAAAGGGACTGGGAGTTGGTAGGAAAAAGTAAACGAGTGCCTTATAGAAAAAGTAAACGAGTGCCTTATAGAAGAGGGACCGTTCATTGCAAAGACTGTTGGAAGCATTGATGCGGGCTGTGACATCTTGCACTGATTCTCCTTTCTGTGTGTCTGATGCCTGTGACTTTTGGTAGGGCTTTAGCCCCAGCCCCAGCCATGTGGACAGCGGATGAGATTGCTCAGCTGTGCTATGAGCACTACCATGTTAGGCTGCCTAAGCAGGGCAAGCCTGAGCCCAACCGAGAATGGACATTGCTGGCAGCCGTGGTGAAGATACAGTTTACAGCTGACCAGGCTTGTGGCATTTCTGATAAGGCAATACAAGGTGAGACCTTTACTTCTCTCCTGTCATAGTGACAGAGTTAGTCTATCCTTGCTATCCAGGAACTCTTGTGAGCAGATTGTTACTGCAGTGTTAGGCACATTTCCCTGGTGTCCACCAGGTGGCAATGTAGTCATAGTGGCAGCAGACCGCCCTTGCTGGAACAAGCCTGGTTAAGACGACCTGTGGGAATCAACTACTAAACTTGAGTACTGGAGAACATTTAGCCTCCGACAGCTCACTTGATTAATTTTTTTCCTCAGTGACAAAGGAAGTTGTCTCAATGGGAACAGGAACCAAGTGCATAGGCCAGTCCAAAATGAGGAAGAGCGGTAAGCATATGTGTGTTTGTGAGGAGTGGTGGGAATCTAAACAAAGAATTATGTATCTGTGATTGCATATCTTTGGAAACCTGTGTTCACGTTAATCTTTACTCTTCTTGTCCAGGAAAAGGGGCTAAATATGGTACTATAATGCGTAAGATTTGTGATCTGGGATGGCTGGCCTCTCATTTCCTGCTTTCTGTTTGTCCTAGTTTAAAGATAGTACTCATTTAAAGGGTACAAGTCCAGACCTGAGCTTAGTGACTGCTGCCTGTAATCCCAGCACTCTGGAGGATGAGGCCAGCGTGGACTACATACTGAGAGCCCGTCAAAAAAAACAAAACCAAAAAACAAGGGCAGGCTGGAGGGGCAGTAGGGAGGATGAAAATCAATTTCAGAGCAAAGGCTATCAGGAACATTCATTCTGAATGAACTGAAAGTCAGCCAGTGTTTTCATGCTCAAATCATAGGTTCCCTAGCTATTGTGCATTACTCTTGAAGACTCTGGAGCTGTAAAACAAGTAGAGAATGCAGCTTGAGTGGTTTCCAAGCCCCAGAAAGCAATCTTGGATTTAATGGAGATTTTGGCACCAACAAGAATAAGGGAGCCAGACGCCGGTGGCTCACGCCTATAATCCTAGCTACTCAGGAGGCTGAGATCTGAGGATCGTGGTTCAAAGCCAGCCCAGTCAAGAGAGTCTGTGAGACTCATATCTCCAATAAACTACCAGAAAACCAGAAGTGGCACTGTGGCTCAAGTGGTAGAGCGCTAGCCTTGAGCTGAAGAGCCGAAGGACAGTGCTCAGGCCCAGAGTTCAAGCCCCACAACGGACCAAAAAAAAAAAAAAATAAAGTAAAATAAGGGAGCTTTACCTACTGTGTCTAGCTAGCAGTTCCTCTTTGAGTTTGTGTCCACCCTGCCCACCTCGTTCTTCTAGCCTTGCCTCCTGCACATGAGAAAGCTGTCCCAGGCCCACTGTGGATTAAATTAGAGTACTATCAGCATGATCACAAGTTTGATACCATGATACAGAAGGTTTGTAGTCTTGTGGGCCAGTGCTAAGTGTACTGCTGACATCCTAAACTGCATAAGCTAAGCCCCTGCAACAGAATGTCCTGGCCCCTTACGTTTGCAATGCTGAGTTGAGAAATGTCGCTACAGTTGTAGGTTCCATATCATTTCACGTAGTGTCCTGTCTTTTCCACAGGAGACATCCTCAATGATAGCCACGCTGAAGTCATAGCCAGGAGGGGTTTCCTACGGTAAGGCCACAGTAAGGCCACGTCCTCCCTCAGCAAGTCTGATTCAGCAGATCCAAGAATGAGAGTCCCTGCAAGCAGTCTGTCACTTAAGCCACACCTCTGACCAGAATTTGCTTTCCAAATTAGACCTCAAATAATGTAGATTATTTTGGTTGGTGAAATATTGTATTCTAGACTAGTGGATCTCAAACTTTAAATGTATCTCAGAATCATCTAGAGAATTTATTAAAGCCCAGATTGCTGGAGCTTGGAGTGTAGCTCAGGGGTAGATCTCTTGCCTCACATGCACAAGGCCCTCAGCACTAGTCTAGCCATGTGCTGTTTAATTAGAGATGACGGTTCCAGGACTTTTCTAAGGCTGACTCCAAGCTGTTTTCTCCCAGATTTCAGACTTCTGAGTAGTTAGTGTAACAGGTGTAAGTCACCAGCACCTGGCCTTTTTTCCTCTTTTCAGTGAATGTTTGCAGTACTGGGAACCAGATCCCCCGCCCTGTTGTTCCTTCTGATAACATCTACATCCTTAGGTACCTTCTCCATCAGCTCCAGTTGGCAGCCACTCTGGAAAAGGACAGCATCTTTATCCCAGGAACTCACAAAGGGCTGTGGAAACTCAGACCAGCTCTCTCTTTTGTATTTTTCTCCAGCCACACACCCTGTAAGTATATTCAAGCCTTTTAAGTAGAATTGCAATGTCTACTTCCTTATGCGTGCCTTACCCATAAAGATGTTTCTCACATAATCAGTTTTGACAGATGTGTGGCCAGTAATAGTGCCAGTTATGTGCCTAAAGTTACCTACCGGGGGGAAGGCAGAAGGTAGAGGTAGGCAAGAGAGGCATCTCACTCATAGAATTGCTGTTAACAGATCAAGACTGGGAAGCTTAGGGCTTAACTCCTAAGGGTGTGCAAAGCTAACAACAGGGTGTCCTCCTGTAGTAACTTCCCAGCGTCCTACAACTCTCCATTCATTCATTCATTGAACAGTACACCTCCCACTCTCATTTCCCCCTTCCCCTGCATCTCTTTGTATCTGCCTTTCCTTCAGGTTCTGGTTGTTTGAGCTATGATCTTGCTGTATATTCCTGTCTGGCCTCAAGCTCACAATGTTCCTGAAATAACAGGTGTGTGCCACCATGCAAAGCCAGAAGAGAGGTCTTTCATTAGTCTAGCAGATGATGGTGAATGAACCCCACCCATTATTTATGCTAATAGTCTTCCAGAGCATCTAGACAGTTGTGGCTACTTAGGGAAATTTTTGATGCATTATTATTGGTAAATATTCTTTCTTTTTTCTTTTATTTTTGTGTCAGTCCTGGGGCTTTAACACCTTGACATTTTGCCCAATGTTGGTGCTCTATCACGTTAGCTACAGCGCCACTCCTGGCTTTTCATGGGTCGTTTCATTGGAGATGAGTCGTACAGATTTTCCATGCTAGCTTGGAATTGCTGTCCTCAGATCTCAGCCTCCTGAGTAGCTTGGATTATAGGCATGAGCCACCAGTATCCAACTACTAGTGGATATTCTTTCTAAAAAAAAACCAAAAACTGAAAGCAATTCCTTTTATAGACAACAGCTCAGAAATGGCAGTAAATGTTCTTAAATCTGAAAGCTTTGACATGAGAATATAAGCTTGTTTTCCAACTATTAAACTTTAATGCAATTAGAGAAGACAGTCATTATTTTGTAGTGACTGTCACTATTTTTAAAAAGAGTCAACAAGATTTGATAGTAACAAGTAGAAACTATTCTTCCATCTTAAGAAAGAATGAGTATGGAGCTTGGAATATGGCTTAGTGGTAGAATGCTTCTCTAGCATGAATGAAGCCCTGGGTTCGATTCCTCAGTATCATATAAACCAAAAAGGGCCGGAAGTGGCGCTGTGGCTCAAGTGGTAGAGTGCTAGCCTTGAGTAAAAGAAACTCAGGGACAGTGCGCAGGCCCTGAGTTCAAGCCCAAGGGCTGAAGAAAAAAAAAAAGAATGAGTATGGGAAGTGAGTTGGTTTAGTCAGAGTAGGGCTCCTCTGAGCTGTTTCCTTTTTTTTTTTTTTTTTTTGTCAGTCGTGGGGCTTGAAATCTGGGCCTGCGTGAGGCTGGAGGCCACACCTAAAGCAGCCAGAGCTTGGGTGACCCCTGTGAAGACAGATGCATCCAGGCCTAATAGTCTAATCCAACTGCTTCAACTAGCAGTGCACACACATGCCTGTCTCTGAGTCACCTTGGATAGCTAAACAAGAATGCTGGCCTAGCTGCAAAGCTTCTGACCAAGCAGGTATACTGTGAGTCCCAGTCACTGGCTCTTCTAACAGGTTCCAGACTGGTGATGGTGTGGCTGGTCCAGGGGACTCATCTCTCCTCTTCATGCAGGTGGAGACGCCTCCATCATTCCAATGCTTGAGTTTGAAGAACAGCCTTGCTGCCCTGTCACCATCAGCTCATCTGCAGGAGCCAGTGGTGACTTGGAGGCTCTTGAAGACAAAGGAGATTGTGATGACACAGACAGTCCTGTAGCCAAGAAGATGAGACTTGAAACTCCTTCCTACTTGGTCATGAATGGGACCGCTCACTGTGACAAGCAGGAACGGCATCCAGTCACGCCGGAGGTCAGCAACTGGAACCTCACTGTGCAGGGACTGGCCACTGTGAAAACTACAATGCCCCGTGACATCACAGTGCTGGACATTCATAGAACTGGGGCCAAGTGTGTCCCCGGAGAAGCCAGGGACCCAGGGAAGCCAGGGGCCGCATACCACCAGGTGGGGCTGCTGCGAGTGAAGCCAGGCCGAGGGGACAGGACGTGCTCCATGTCTTGCAGTGACAAGATGGCCCGGTGGAATGTCCTTGGGTGTCAGGGCGCACTGTTGATGCACTTTCTGGAAGAGCCCATCTACCTGTCAGCTTTGGTGATTGGGAAGTGCCCATACAGCCAGGAAGCCATGCAGAGAGCCCTGACTGGGAGGTAAGAGGCGGATGGAGGGCAGTTTGAGTGAATCCAGACAGCCTTACAATTGCTCTATACCTTTTCATCCAGCAGTTAAATTTCCAAGAATTTATCCTCAAGAATTAAGCAAGCTAAACTGCGCCACCACCAGAAGGGGGAGCCATTGCTCCCGGAGCTTCCCCTGCCACTTCCTGTAGTGGCTAGGGAGGGGGGGGAGGAGCTGGTGCACTTCAGCGTCTTTGCTTGTTATGGCTGCTGCTGTCACTGTAGAGACAAATGATGCTGGAAATCGACTTCGGTTTCAATTGGTGTTGGAATTTGTGCAATGTTTAGTCAACCCAAATTACCTAAATTTTCTTGCCCACAGAGGTTACTTCAAAGACAGATCTTTTGTTGCTTTACTGGAAAGAACCAAAATATGCCAGGTATATAAAGACATTGCACTTGCTAGGCAAGTGCTTTGCCACTGAGCTACATCCTAGTCCCCTATTCCCTTTTAGTGATGAAAAAATAAATAAAAACAAGAAAAAGAAAGCTAGACATGGGATGCACTGAGACCCATCTTAAAGGAGAAACTGGTTATAGTGGTTCATGCCTATATCCCAGCTACTCAGCAGGTAGAGATCAGGAGGATTGTAGGTTCAGGCCATCCTTACCTGGCAAGAAGTTCAGGAGACCCCCATTGCCGCAAATAAAAAGTTGAGTTGGGCACTTGGTGGCGTACACCTATGATTCTAGCTACTCAGGAGGCTGAAATCTAAGGATTGTCATTTGAAGCCATCTGGGCAGGAATATCTGAAAGTATCTAATTAACAAAAAAAGCTTTGGAAGTACAACTATGGCTCAAGTAATAGAGTGCTAGCCTTGAGCAAAAAATTCAAGGGACTGGCACCAGTTGCCAGGGGTTCAAAGCCAGCTCAGGCAGGAAAGTCCAGGAGACTCTTATCTCCAATAAACTAGTACCAGAGTGGCCCTGTAGCTCAAAGTGGTAAGAGTTCTAGCCTTCAGCACAAAGAGGCTCAGGGACAGCATCCAGGCCCTGACTTCAAGCCCCAAGACCTGCACTAAATAAATAAGAGGGTTGTAATTTAAAGCCAGCCCAGGCAGGAAATTCACAATTTACAGATGTGCCCAGTGACATACACACAAATAGCCAAAAAGTGAGAGCAGCCAAATGCCCACTAGGACATACATGGATAAACTAACTGCCGTCTCATACAATGGATGATAGGATTTGCTGTGAAAAGGACCACAGTGCATGGTTGGCCCTTGAAACATCTTGCTAAGTGAAGTAAGGGCATATTGCATGATTTCATTTATGTGAAAACCCAGAAGAGACAAATCCATAGAAACCTATGAGTTGGTGACCAGCAGAGTACACCACCAGATTCTTGGCTACCAGGGCCTGGGGAAGGGGTTGGATAGTAACCATGGGGCTGAAGTTTGGGATTTGAAGTTACTGTCTGTCCATTGTGTCCTGTTCAAGCAGTTTGTTGGGTGTACTTTATGCAAAAGATGTAAGGGGGGGGGCTGGGAAGGTGGCTCAGTGGTAGAGCGCTTGCCTTGCATGCATGAGGCCCTGGGTTCTATTCCTCAGCACCACATAAGCAGGGGGGAAAAAAAGCCGGAAGTGGCGCTGTGGCTCAAGTGGTAGAGTGCTAGCTTTGAGCTGAAGAGCTGAGGGACAGCACCCAGGCCCATAGTTCAGGCCCCATGACCGGACCCAAAAAAAAAATGTAAGAGGGGGGAAAAAGGCATTTGAACATTAAGGGATAATTTAGGCTGTGGTGTGTTTGTTTGGAGGATTGCTATTAAGTTCTCAAATGAAGATTGAAGTGTGATATTTCTGACATTGCTGATGTATACTGGTTCATTTACCTGTTATCCTTCAGACTGATGGGGAGGGATCTGCATCCAGGCATAGAGTTCTTCCCACACACCTCAGCAAAAAAAAAGCAAGGGATGGCGAAGTCCACAATCTTTACGACTTTTTCTCTAGGAATGCATCTAAAATGAATATATTTTCCCTCACATTTAGGTGTCAGAATGTCTCGGCTTTACCCAAAGGTTTTAGAGTTCAAGAATTGACAACACAGCAGTCAGATTTACTGTTTGAACAGAGCCGCTGTGCAGTGCAGGCAAATAGGCTGGATGGTCCAGGCCGGCTTGTGCCTTGTGGGGCAGGTAAGGGATCCAGGTGGAACTTACCCTGGAGCAGCTTTTTCCTAGCAGAATATCCTAGACAAGTCTGCATCCCACAGCCTCAGAAGGCAATTTGCCATTCCAGCAGTCAATAGTGCATACTTTGGTCATCACCCGCCCTGGCTTAAGTTTCTGCTAGGTGTGACTGGGCAACTTATTTCCTAGCCAGTGCTGGTGGCCACACCTGTAATCCTAACTACTCAGGATCACAGTTCAAAGTCAACCCAGGCAGGAAAGCCCTATTAACCACCAGAAAACAACTTAGTGGCGCTGTGACACAAAGTGATAAGAGTGTTAGCCTTGAGCAAAAAAACTCAGAGACAGCGCCCAGGCCCTGAGTTCAAGCCTCACCACCACCACCACCACCAAAAAAGAATATTTCTTTCCTCCTTTTTTTTTTTTTGTCTTTTTTGCTAGTACTAAAGTTTGAACTCAGGACCTCAAATTTGCTCAGCTTGGTTGCTCTGCTGACACTCTGCCACTCGAGCTATGTCTCCAGCCTAGCTTTTTGCAGAGTTTCTCAGACTCTTCTGCCCAGGTTGGCTTTTTAGCCCTGATCCTCCAGATCTCAGCAACCTGAGTAGCCAACATTACAGTTGTGAGCCACAAGCATGCAACTATAGAATAATACTTTACATAGTGATTATGAGAATGAAATGAGGAATTCTATTGGATGCATTTACTGTGTCTACCATATAATAAATGCACAATGAAGTCAAAGATAATCATGAACTTTATACTATTGTAACCTGGAGACCAAAGTGATCATACCAAGTTTTCATGGGCCTGTAGAGGAAGAAAAATGCTTTTAGTAAAACAAATTGCTTTATAGAAAACTGAATAACACCAAATTGTTTTCTCTTTGTAGCAATCAGCTGGAGTGCGGTTCCTGAGCATCCGCTGGATGTAACGGCCAACGGCTTTCCCCAAGGAACAACGAAGAAAGGAATTGGAAGCCTTCAGGCCAGGTACCACTATCAGGGCAGAAGGGCCTGGGGCTGTGATGTGAGCTCATATCTTTGCTCTCAAATTCCAGAACATTTTCAAGGCCCTTAAAAGAATACCACACCCATTAGCACAGTCCTGGCCCACTCCTTTTCTCTAGCCCTTAGAAACCTCAAAGGTACTTATTTCCTCACTCCATAGAGTTACCACTTTATGTGATTTCATTTTATATAAATAAAACCATATGGTTTGTGGCCTTTTCTGTTTGGCTTCATTCCCTTAGTCTGTTTTCATAAATAGCAGGTATCTGTACTTCTGTCCTGTCTTGGTTTGTTTGTGCCGTCCTGGGGCTTGAAGTTAGAGCCTGAACCCTGAGGGTTTTTTCTGTTTTTGTTTTTGTTTCTCTCAAGGCCAGTACTCTACCACCTGAGCCACAGCTCCAATTGTCCAGGCTTTGAACTGCCATTCTCAAATCTTGGCCTCCTGGGTAGCTAGGATTACATGTGTGAGCCACCAGCGCCCAGCCTTTGGTCTTTTTTTTTTTTTTTTTGCCAGTCCTGGGGCTTGAACTCAAGGCCTGGGCACTGTCCCTGTGCCTCTTTGTGCCTAAGGCTCCATTCTACCACTTGAGCCACAGGATCACTTCTAGCTTTATCTGAGTAGTATTAGAAATAAGAGTCTCATAGACTTTCCTGCCCAGGCTGGCTTTTAACTGTGATCCTCAGATCTCAGCCCTCTGGGTAGCTAGGATTATAGGTGTGAGACATGCCTGCCTCCTTTCCAGTTTTTTGAGACAGTCTCACTATCCTGCCTCCCTAGTTCTAGGATTACAGGTGTGCATCACCACACTTGGCAAAAGCTTTCCTTCTTTTCAGCCACTGAGTGCCAGGGTTCAAGCAGCCTAGACGACAAACACTTTCCTGAAAGCCTGGGCTACTGAATGGGAAATGACTGCAAGTAGAGAGTTTGGAACCGTTTCCTCCAAGGGCCTTCCCGGTTTCTGCCTACCTTTAATACTTGTAGGACACCAACTCTCAGCCAGACAGCAGATACATGAACAGAGGAGCTCACAGGGCAGGGCCACAGGTTACCTGCCGAGCAGTCGCTGCAGTTGGTAACAGCCTGGAAACTTCTCACTGTGGCCACACTCAGTTGACTCAAATGTTCTTGTTTGTTATGTGTTCATAATGTCTTACCTGAAAAGCACAGTTCCAGTCCCACTGCCTGCTGGCTCAGTCCCCATCCTCCTGCTCCAGACTCCTGCGGGGCTGCTCTCCAGCTTGTCCCAGTATGTCATTGTCACCTGGGTCGGTGGAGCTTGCTGTTTGTTGTAACCCAAGCTCTTCCTCAAATTCTATGGGTGGTGTGAGGCAAGTCCAGTGGCTCTTTTGGTCTCAGTATGTTCATACCTGTAAAATGAGGACTTTTCCAGAGATGATCTAAAGTTTGTGACATGTAAATTAGAAGGTAAATTAGTTTACTACAAGGTTTTCATTCACTGGCTGTTGAACTGTACCAAGGCTTCTTTTCATCTCTGTTCCTCATGTTATTTTTTCTTCTTTAACACCTTAAGGGGATTTCCTTAAGGGGTTTTCCATCTGTTTCTATTTTGATCTCATGAATCAAATCAGAATTCCTGAGTGCCAGCAACTGCACCAACATAGTTTAGGCCAAGGGGGGAGCAGCAGGGAAGGGCTCAAGGTTCCCAAAAGCAGGAGTTTCTGAAGGAAGCTAGTCCCAGCTGGGGCCAGGAACTTTCTGCACTGTACACATGTGTGTACCTGTTTCGTGTCTCCCAGTGATGGCTACCATGTCCTAGCTGAGGGTATGATTTGATGCGTCTCCCCAACCCAAGCAAAGGTACCAAGACTGAATCAAAACAAAATACAAAAGGGCTGGGGTTGCGCACTTGCCTACCATGCCCAAGGACCCAAGTCAATCCTCCTTATGAAAAGAAGAAAGAAGCAGCATTTAAGAATTCCAGCTGGGCCCCATGATCGACAAAAAAAATACAATAATAATAATAATAATTCCAAATAACTCCTGGAGGTTTATTATCTTGGAGCGAAAGTTTGTCATCTAAAGACCTAGAATGTCCCTAGGGGATAATCAGGAGACTCCACCTCAGGTGGATTATTTTTTTTATCATCATCATCATTATTACTATTATTGAGGCATGATCTGCTATAGCCTAGATTGGGCTCAAACTCCATCCTCTGCCTTAGCCTCCTCAGTGCTGGAATTACAGACAGGCTCCACGAAACCCAACTCTCCAGTGAGCTGTGTAAGTATCTCACACAGGGCAGAGCACCATCTCTAAAGCAAAGCTTTCCATGTCCTATAAACAGTGCTATGCTGCTATGCAAGGGACTAGTTCCCTTGACAGGGAAGCAGATGTGTCACATTACAGAATGAAGTTTACTTCATTACTCATTTTACTTCCGTTATCCCATGTGAGCCTGTCTTTTTAATGATTCTACTGTGGATAACACTTCTCAGGATGAGTTTCATTTTTGTACCTCAATCTGATCAGGTCTAGAATTTTCTCCTTGCCAAGCACAGATGGAGATGGGTCCTGGCACATTCAAATGTAAATACCATATTTATTGAGGTCTGGCATCTTTTATAATGGCCTGGTACATAGTAAATAATCAGTGATCTTTACCTCCTTCTTCTGAACAGATCCAGAATCAGCAAAGTGGAACTCTTTAGATCATTCCTGAAGCTTCTAAGCAGCATTGCAGAGGACATGCAGCCAGACTCCCTCAGGTGATGCTACTGACGCATGGTTTTTCCATATTTAGGAACAACTCTGTCTTAGTCCTAGGCCTGTCAATAGCAGGATGCTTTCACAGACAGGAGTTGGTGGATCTATTACTGCCCACCTGACTTCTATCCCTAGAGACATACTTACAGAGAATGAAAACTTAGGGGGGCTTGCACCTAGTTACAGGTGAACAAGGGGCCATCCATGAGTCTTACTTACGGCATTGAAGGACAGGCTGTTTATTTCAGTAAACACAAAAGAATGAGAGATTTCTTTCTTCTTTCCTTACTTACTATCTTCTGCTGAGAATGGAACCCAGTGCTTCTCCATGTTAGGCAAATGCTCTGTCACTGAGCTACACACTTATCGCAGAGAGAAGATACTTGACCATAGCTGTGTTCACAGGGTTCAGGTAAAGTTTAAAGCTGGCATGTGTGCGTCATTCCCAGCATTAGGGAGGCTAAGGGGGAAAAAATTGCATGTTCAAGGTCAAGATGGGCTACATAGCAACTTCACAGTGAGCTCAGGCTAGATAGTGAGTCCCTGTCTCAATAAATAAAATATTTAATAATAAAAGTTGCCATGCATATGGATCCCATCTCTTAACTAACAAAAAGCTGTAGCTAATTGATCGTATACTAAAATCAATGCTGAAAAAAGCTATTTTTCTCGATGCTGTGGTGAGCTGAAAAACAACTTAGGTCTCCACAGATCTTGGCAAAGCACAGAGAGTACAAGATAAAATGAGTTAATAAAACATGAGTTTCAATGCAAAGACAGCAGGGAAGAGCAAGGGAAGTGCTACATAGTCTTTCTGTTTTTAAATGTAGTTTTATTGTTGTTGTTATTAAGATATTGGGGCTGGGAAGGTGGCTCAGTGGTAGAGTGCTTGCCTCACATGCATGAGGCCTGGGTTTGATTCGTCAGCACCACATAAACAGAAAAAGCTGGAAGTGGTGCTGTGGCTCAAGTGGTAGAGCGCTAGCCTTCAGCTGAAGAGCTGAGGGACAGCAACCAGGCCCAGCGGTCAAGCCCCACAACAGGGGGGAAAAAAAAAAGATGTTACACAGAGGTGTTACCATTTTATCATTTCATAAATCAGAGAATGAATATAGAAAACACTATGTATTAAGCAGTAGGCCCAAGCCTGTTTTATGGTCAGGTTTTTAAAGATAGGTCTTTTTGCTGTGATTTGTGGGTCCCTGAAATGTTTTTCTTTTTTTTTTGTTTTTGTTTTTGTTTTTTTTTTTGGGTCCGGTCGTGGGGCCTGAACTCTGGGCCTGGGCGCTGTCCCTCAGCTCTTCAGCTCAAGGCGAGCCCTCTATCACTTGAGCCATAACGCCACTTCCAGCTTTTTTCTTTTTGCTTATGTGGTGCTGAGGAATAGAACCCAGGGCCTCTGGCATGCAAAGGCAAGCGCTCTACCACTGAGCCACCTTCCCAGCCCTTTTTCTTTTCTTTTTAATGACTCAGACACTTACTATGGACAGCAAGAAAGATTTCTTTGGGAAGGTGGGAGGTGGCAGGGAAAGAGGGGCGGGACTCCACCCAGATCCACAGACACAGGGCCCTTGGCAGCCCACAATCAGGCAGTGGGTGGAGAAGATGGTCCTGCTTGCTGCAGCATCAGGGCTGCTGGACATGATCCTTGCTGAAGGTTGGTGGGGCAGTGACCTACAGGGAAGAATTTGATTTGGTATCTGGGATGATCTAAAGCTAGGGTAGAGGATTTTTTTTTTCTTCCTAAACTGACTCAGCAGAATTCTCGCTGGAACTGGATTCAGAGAGTCAAGGATAGCCCAGGGTTAAGACCAGGTGAAACAGAAGTCAGGACCCTGACTCAAGTTTGGTCAAAAGAGCCCATCAGGGGCTGGGAAAGTGGCTCAGTAGTAGAGCGCTTGCCTTGCATGCCTGAGGCCCTGGGTTTGATTCCTCAACACCACATAAGCAGAAGAAAAAAAAAAGCTGGAAGTGGCGCTGTGGCTCAAGTGGTAGAGCGCTAGCCTTGAGCTGAAGAGCTGAGGGACAATACCCAGGCCCAGAGTTCAGGCCCTACAACCGGACCCCTCCTCTCCCCCCCCCCAAAAAAAAACAGAGCCTATCAGAAGAACAGGGTTAGCATTCTTCCCCAAGGCTGAATGGGTTTGGAGACATGTTCCCTGCAGTAGGAAGAGGAGAAATGCAAACATGGTGGAAAGGTCTTTGTAAGAAAAAAATGCCAAGAAGGTTAATCCTTTGGTGGAAATTACCCTTAGAAAACTTGAAACCAAAAGTATTGTTATTCTTATTTTCTGTTTCTACCAGAAACCACACACAGTAGTATTCTGTTCATTCTGACCTTATTTAACTTCTGCCACTTTCACACAATGCCTTGCAAAGGAGACAGTGGCACTCTGGGAAAGTACATTAGCACTTTCTGTTCTTGGTCTCCCATTGTAACCTGCCTAGGTGCTTCTTAGGGGTTTCACGGGCCCAACGGGTGAGCATCTCCCTGAGAACTCGTGCTTGGTGGTATGTGTGCATTAGGGGGCAGAAGCTGGACACCTACCAGGAATATAAAGAGGCTGCATCCACTTACCAGGAAGCCTGGAGCACACTCCGAAAGCAGGCATTTGGATTCTGGATCAAAAATCCACCAGACTATCACCAATTCAAATGAATAGGAAAAGTTTTCCAGCGGATTTATTCCTGTAATCCTAGCCATTCAGGAGGTGGAGATCAAGAAGATCACAAGCAGTTCAAGGTCAGCCTGAGTAATAAGGTTCTGAGACACCATCTCAACCAATAAAAGCTATATGGTAGTGCGCACTTCATCCCAGATATAGAGGATCACTGTCCAGGCCAGCTTAATCGTGAGATGCTTTAAAAAATGCTGCGAACACATCCATGTGGTAGAGCTCCTTCCTAGCAAGTGCAAGGCCCTGAGTTCAAACCCCAGCATCACCAAAAAAAAGTCTGCAGGCTTGCTGGTAGCAGGAGCTTCATTCTGGACAACCATAAGCCTTTCTGTTGACTAAATCAAGAAAACATTAGGCTGGGGACATTTTACTATTGCTTGGTATTTGACTTCAATTATGTTTTATTGCTTCTCTAAAATATAGAATTTGGAATATGATACTTGAGTGCTTTCTGTTTTTATGTGTTCCTACATTGATTCAGCAAGTATTTATTGGCTGAAATGATGTTTGAGGCTCTGTATGCTTTACAATTCCATCTGATAGGAGAACACGTGTTTCATATTCCCAGACTTTCTTCCCCTGGGCAGTCGTCTTCTTCCCAGTTTTCAGCAGTCAGACTTGGACTGAAGTTATCTTTATTCTTGGCTCATTATTCAGCCTTGGGCAACCCTGTTCTGGACATCTATCAAGATTCTCTTTGTTCATTTTGTTTTGTGAAACAGTCTCGGGATTGTAGCCCAGTTTAGTCTGGGACCTCTTGGTCTTCCTCCCTCAGCCTCTTGCATGCTGGGATTACAGGCAAGTACTACCACACCCAACCCAAGGTTCCCTTACAATCCGAGATAAGCCACAGAAAAGTCTGTAGGCCATGTAACCTTGAGATTGCCAATGGCTGTTCCTACCATATGCAGACCTGCTGAGAATGAAGGTCACAAAGAAGGAAATAGTTTAGAACTCTAACTATTGTTCCCCTGAAGTCAGTGCCCAGCTGGAGCTTCAGTTCCAGTTGTTTTATGCCTGTTCCAGTTGGTTGTCTGGCCTGTTCCAGTTGGTTGTCTGGCTCTCAGCTGAGCTCTGTACACAGGATCACAGTTCCTACAGCCAGTTAGCAACAGACCTGGAAACCAGCTCATTTAACTGACATCTAATACTGAGCTCCCAGCCCCTTCACACTCTGAATAATGGACTGAAATGGGAGCTTTCCACATTGGAGTTATTCAGGGTCATTTGTATATAGCTTTAAGTATTTTTTAATCACAGCTTTATTGAGTTAAAATTCTTATACCATATACTGTTTAGTGGTTTTAGAATATCCACAGAGTTGTGTATCTATTGATTTTAGAACATTTTTATCATCCCCAGAAGAGCCCTTGTGCCTGTATCCATTTCCAAGGCCATTTTAACAAAGAACCACAACTGTGTAGCTTAAAACAACAAATTATTCTGTCTCAGGTCTGGATGCTAGAAGTCCAAAATCAATTGTCAGTGGGGGCCAGGCATCAGTACTTCACACCTGTAATCCTAGCTACACAGGGGCTGAGACCTAGAAGATCACAATTCTAAGCGAGCCTAGGCAAAAAAAAAAAATTTGCTTTTAAACTTTGTAAAGGGTTATAAAGGTAGTGTGTAGAAGGGCTACAGTGACATAAGTCAGGTAAAGGGTACACTTGGACAGTCACCCCTTCCTTCCCTTGCTCTCTCTCTGTTTGGCAAAAAAGTTCTTGGCAGTCCTTAGCTTGAAGCTGTATCACTTCACCTCTGCCGCTGCCTTTACAGCCTTCTTCCCTTTGTGTGTCTTCATGTGGACTTTTTTTTTTTTGGTCGTGGGGCTTGAACTCTGGGCCTGGGCGCTGTCCCTTTCAGCTCTTCAGCTCAAGGCAAGTGCTCTACCACTTGAGCCACAGCACCACTTCTGGTTCTCTGGTGGTTTACTGGAGATAAGAGTCTCATGGACTTTTCTGCCCAGGCTGGCTTTGAACCACGATCCTCAGATCTCAAGGCCTCCTGAGTAGCTAGGATTACAGGTATGAGCCACTGACGCGAGGCTCACTTGCCTTCTTCTAAGGACTCTCTAGTCATTGGGTCTAGGGCCTAAACTTAATCCATTGTGATCTTAGCTCAACTAACTACATCTGTAAAGACCTTACATCCAAACAAGGTCACTTTCTGAGCTTGTCAGAATTTTCTTTTTTCTTTTTCCTTTTTTTTTTGGTTGTGGGACTTGAACTCTTGGAGATGAGAGTCTCACAGCCTTTCCTGCCCAGGCTGGCTTTGAACTGCGATCCTCAGATCTCAGCCTCCTGAGTAGCTAGGATTATGGGCATGAGCCATCATTGCCTGGCTTGGCCGAATTTTTTTTATAGGTCCCAGTATAGAATGGCACAAAAGACTCCCATGAACCCACCCCTCAGACTTCACAAATGTCCAATGTGGATGATGGTGGCCAGATGCCTAAGACAGGCCCGCCTCCAAGGCCCTGCTGTCTGGCAAGGGTAACCCCTCACCAGAGAGTGCCGTGTGCACACAAGGAACAGTGTGGGCACACCACTCACCCTCACACTGTCCACCCTGTTACTTCAGGGTAGGACTCCAGCAAGGTCCATACCGCGAAGCTGTTGATATTCCTGTGTGTCACTTTTATAACCATTCTCCCTCCTTTGTAAATACAGGCTATTTGTCATGACTTGCCATTTCCTCCAGTGTTGCTTTCGCATATTCTCTGCACCCCAGAATTTCTGTCAGTTTGCAAGTAATAAAGAAGCTTGATAAAATTGGGGTTCAGTTGATTGGGCCTGAACACTTCATAGGTGAGTCTGTGTATTGTGTGATATCTGATGGCTCCGTCTCACTTTCCGTGAGTGGGGTGAGCAGCCTGCGCTGCCACGCCACCTTCCCACTGGCTTAGCAGTTTTGTCAGGAGTCTCCAAGACCCTCAGGATTCGCAGAACTAAGAAAAGTTACTGCATACTACATACAGATTAGTCAGCCAGTAGAAAAGGCACAGTGAAGTGCAAGAGGAAGCAAGGCCAGGCTTCTGGTCGTGTCCCTGCCCTGGGTAGCTTGCGTTTGCATTGCTTGGGTGATGGGGAGTCTGTGACCCGCTGCCGCTGAGAGACTGCTCTCCAGGGCAGACACAATAGCTCACTGCTGCTTCCTGGAGCCTTTGTTTTGCAGGTTGTGATATGTAAACCACAACTGCTCCTGTGCCCCAACCCTGTCCTTTGTGGGACTCCTGTCCACCTAGACCTGGAGGGAGGGACAGCCCCACTCTCAGCGGACCTGGAGTGGCCCCTCCCAACTGCCTTGTCTCAGTTTGTTACTGACTCAGAAGCTAACTAAACTCACGCATGGACCCCACAACCTGCTGAAACGATCCAACACCTGCTTACTCTGCCTCATTCTCTCTTCCCTAGAAGCCACTCCATCCCCTCACTCCTGCCCTGTATCTCAGCTGACCCCAGGGCCTGGCATGTCCCTCCCCTGCATGAGTTCTCTTGATACCGCCATTTCCTCATCTGTACCTTCCTACTCCTGAATAATCCTAAAACTGTTGAAAATGCTGCCCAGCGTTCATCTCTCAGCCCTGAGGGCGACATAGTTCATGCCAAGAGTTGCCTGTGATGGCCTCTCACTCAGCCTGCGGTGCTGCTAATGTCCTGTGCAGCACTGCATCCCTCCCTGCCGCCGCCTCGTGCACCTGCCCCAAGAATGAGAGGCACCGAGTGCACATGCTGCTGAAGGTGAGGCCCTGAAGAAGTCCCTTCAGGATCCTGCTCCAGTCTACACACGCAGTTCATTTTGTTTTGCTCCCAGTTTTAAAGATGCTCAAGACAGTGCTGGGATTAGAGGCATCTACTACCTCACTGGCTTCATTCTTGCTTTTGAAGTGTTCTATGAATAGTCTTGCAACAGTTTGTAATTTTGCCACTATGTCTTTTTGAATAGTTTCAAAGAAGTGGGATTGCTGGGTCAAAACTTAAATGAACATGTAATTTTGTTTTATTTAAATATATCCTCCAAGTGTTATTTCTAAATACAATCTGTGTGAAGAAAGCAGTGTGTAGAACAGCAGTGCCGCATGCCATTCTATTTTTAAAAAGCTGAAAGAAGGTTAGGTTTTGCTTTTACATGCTAAAATATCTGCCTAGGGGCTGGGAAGGTGGCTCAGTGGTAGAGCACTTGCCTTGCATGCATGAGGCCCTGGGCTCGATTCCTCAGCACCACATAAGCAAAAAGAAAAAAGCCGGAAGTGGCGCTGTGGCTCAAGTGGTAGAGTGCTAGCCTTGAGCTGAAGAGCTGAGGGACAGCGCCCAGGCCCAGAGTTCAGGTACCATGACAGGACCCAAAAAATATCTGCCTAGATACATAAGAAACCCACCATGAATAGGGATGGTGGGGAGAGATGAGCAGGGCCTAGGGTTACGAGGGGCACTTTTCACTGGATATCCTTTGTATCATTGATCCATGTTAATATTGGCCTTTTTAAAAGATCAGTTTGGGGACTGGGATGTAGCTCAGTGCTAGAACACATGTGTTCAATAGTCACGAGGCTCTGGATTCAATCCCCAGCAACATACACACAAAAACTACTTTTCTCAAAAAACTTTTGCCAGGTAGCACCAGTGGCTCACGCCTGTAATCCTAGCTACTCAGGAGGCTGAGATCCTAGGATCACAGTTCAAAGCTAGCCCAGTCAGGAAAGTCTGTGACACCCTTGTCTCCAATAAACTACTTAGAAAAAGCTGAAAATGGAGCTGCAGGTCAAATGGTAGAGCACTAGCCTTGAGCAAAAGAAGCTCAGGGACAGTGTCCAGGCTCTGGACCTATACACATAAAAAAATAGGTACCTTTTTTAGTGGAAGTAGAATTTGAACTCAGGACCTTGTCCTTGTCCATGATAGGCTGAAATGATTCAAACCAGCCAAAGAATAAATTTGGACTCCTTAGGAGGAGGAGACCACATTCTCTGTCCTTTGGGCCTTTGGCAATATGATGCGTAATACATGGCCCTACTTCAGCTCCCAATCACACCACCTTTCGCCAGTGAGCCAGTCCTTGGGCTGTGCGCAGTCAGCATCTTGCCTGCCTGAGACATGGGCCTGCTGCTCACATCTGGGCATCAGGTGAGCCCACATGAAAGCGCATGTTTGGAAGTCTTTTGTCCCATAGAAACCAGTGAGCTGTGGATCCACCTAACAAACGTGATAAAATTCCAACTAAATGCAACCTGGGCAATCTGCCAAATGCACAAGATGAATGTCTCAAATTTTTTTTCCTGCAGTGCTGGTCTTCAAACCCGGGGCCTTTCTCACACACGCTAAGCAAGGGTTCCTCCACCAGCTACACCTCAGCCCAGCCAGTTTAATTTTTTTTAATGAATGGAAAAACATGCCTATGTTTGAAGCTGTAGAAAGAGCAGAAACCCTTTTGGAGCTGCAC